TATATATATATATATATATATATATATATGTTATTTTGTTTCTTAAATTGTATATATATGTTTTTTACCCTTTTACTAAAATTTCCATATGTTAAACATTTTTCGGTATCAATTTTTAATTTATATATAAGTTTAAGTTAGGCTTACACATTAGAAAAAAACCTAATAAATACGTATCTTCTTTCTTCAAATTGAACAGAAAAATTTGTTTGTTTTACGTTAGAGGAGAACCCTAATAAATACCGATCTTCTTCTTCTATAGTTCAACATAAAATTTTGCTTGTTTTGAGAATATAATGGGGAAAAGTAATAGTCATCCAATGGACAAGGAGATGATGAACAGTTTGGTGAAGTATGGAATAGGGAAGCCTTTTCCTCGTAAGCATACTGTTATGGATGTCGATGATGTTTACGGAATCAGAGTATTCAGTCCATCCCAAATCCTTGAATCTACCAAGGGCACAAATAACAACACACGATTGTTGATCACTTTTCAGAATACGGAAAACTGTAAAGTATTTGCTAGTAAAGAGGCCCCTGGGTTTTGGAAATCTACACCCAAACGCAAGTCAATTTTTGATGCCAACAAGAGACACATTGGCAACATCAAAATTTCGTGGTACTACTACTACAACGTCGATGATGGTAGAGACAAATCATCATCGAGATTGAGACAGAGTGAATGGCAGATTAGAGAATATTATCTCACATCCAAATATCTGCCCCAAAGCAAAGTTGAGAGAAAAAATGTCTTATTAACCATGATGATCAAGACCAAAGCTGCTAATAATAATAATAATGACAAATCTGATGAGAAGATGCAGAGGATTGTTCTTGACAAGCAGGATATTATGCAATCTTTACAATTGCCTTCAACTTTAGTGATTGAACAACAGATTAGAGCCAGTTTGCGTTTTTGTTTGTGTTAAAAAACATTACTGATCAATATTATCAGGTTCTAACTGCTATTTACTAAGTGTTTTTTTTTTCTTTCTAAATTTCCTTTATTTGATAATCTGATATAAGTTTTATTCTACTTACAACTTGTGTGTGAAAGTAAGGTTTCTTAGTCTTTTGTGTATCTGAGCTGGTCTAATTGATGCCTTGTCATGAACATCTTACTTCATATATAAAATGTATTATTCTGGTTTCTCAAACTCTTACGCGATTTAGCTAGTTTAGAATTTGAAGACACAGAATTTGGGAGGTTACGGTCAGTGGTGGAGCCAGGATTTTCAACAAGGCGGTTCAAAATTTGAAAAAATAGACACACGAAGTAGCCTAAGGGGGTTCGACATCTACTATATATATCTAATTTTTTTTTTTAACCATGTATAAATAATATAATTTTCCGCCGAAGGGGGTTCGGATGAACCCCTCATTGAAAGGTGGCTCCGCCACTGCTTACGGTATGTACCAAAAGCTGGTAGGATTAATATTATCTGTTTGGCTGACTGATTCAAGGAGTTAAGACTATCAGTTGCTTGCAAAATCTGGTTCACCATTGTGTCTGGAGATGAGTTGCCGGTCTAATGGTGAGAGTGAGAAAGTTTCATCGCCTCGTGACAGGAGTATTTTGGTGTATCCACAAGCTTTAGCGAGTTACAGAGTAGTGTGGTGTACCCACAAGCTTCAGCGAGTTACAGAGTAGTGTGGTGTACCCACAAGCTGTACTTACAACTGGATGGATGCATGTCAATGAACAGGGTAAAATGCGTGATCCTTACATTAATGGTTTCGTCCTCTGATGCGAATGGACCAACGAATATGTACACGGGAGTTACCAAAGATTCAGGAGGAAATTGAGCCGACTTGCCAACAATTCCCCCCTATAGTAACTCAGGGGCTGAACATGGAACTCATTCCTTGAACCAGCAGATGGCGACTGCTGGCTTTGCCGGAACGCTTGCTCCGTCTACGTCTTCGGTACTTCCTCTTCTATATTTGAGGATTTGTAATGTTCTTGGTGTTATTCTTTTAGTTACTTGTTTCTTCAAGCTGTCATGTGCAACTTTATCTCCTAAAAAAGTGTCCTGTTCTTGTTCCTGCATGGGCTCAGATCTCGATTGTTCTTTTTGTCATTTTCTCCCTTCCATCTTGTGTCAACTTGGCCTTATTTAACCTGTAGTTTCTTCTCATTTTATCTGCAGAATTAACTTCCCACACATTTTCCAATACTCTAAACTTTGCCGTTTTGAATTTGGCAAAGTTTTCCTTTGTTGTTTGTGCTTGTTGCTGGGTTATGGTCTTTGTCAAAACTTGGAAGGTCTGGTCTATCCACAAACTATTTGTGTATTGCACTTTCATATTAATCGTTCCACACTGCACTCTCCGAACCGAACCCAAACTTACCAATTCTTCACATCATTTTAACTTTATTTTCCCTTTTTGAATTATCTCATGAGTTTCAACTCGCTTCCCTTTATTTTTCTAGTATCATATAGCTTAACTACTAATGTAGGTTCTAATTATCAACGAGTTCAAAGTCAGAGAGTTCAATCATTTGCAAACATAGTGATAATATCCGGAGAACTCTACTCTCTAAGTTGTTGCTTTTAATTTTTACTTAGGTTTCTGAACTAATTGTTTCAGTGTTAGTTAGTGCTTCTACTTGATTTTTTGGGTACATTTATTTTTTAACATTTCATGTTTATGTTAAAAAGTATGTTTTTTTGTTGACAATCCTCTCAAAATTATTCTTGATAAATGATTTTCAGATTTATTGGATGGTTCTGATTGAAACCTGGAAGGTTTTAATTATTTTTTCGGTAAGTGAGATGGGCATTCTCATTAACACACTGTAGCGCATGTCGCATGATGCTCTTTAAAGAGGTGTAGGAACGCCTGTGTCCTGTTGACGTGGACTCTTCAAGTAGTCAAAGTTTGTTGTGATTGTTGCTTGCTTTAGATGGTCTGGAATAGTTTTAATTTTTAGCAGTAAGAGTTTAGGTTTTGAATTGGTTAATAGAGCCTTACCCACTGCTTGCATTTGCAGTTTGGGATGCTTTGTCAGGAAACTGAGAGCTGGAGGGGGAATGCTTGCTATTTTTTTCTTCTGAATTTATTGATTAGTGTCTTTTAAATTCCTTTTTATTTATTTATGAGTTCCATATCTACGGATTTTTTTTTTCTAGTGAAAGAGTGTAAGGTAATTAGTTGAAACTTGAAGCTTCTAATTTATGTCATTTTTTAAGTCACTATCGGGGAGAGAAGTAAAGGCTAACCATTTTTAATGCCATCTGCTGTCCTTATTTTTTGCAGTAGAAGTTCTAGTGATTCAGTTAGGACAACAATATTTTATCAAGCAATACAAATATGCTGGACTGGCCATGATATTGGAACTTAAATCGAATCTCTTATTCTTAGTCCGAGTCTTTGCTATGTTTTCTCTCTGCTCTTCCATATATATTATGCACCATTTGGTTGTGATTCCTGTGGGATCCTTACATTTACCTGATGCAGGGATGAATCACTGCTCTGCCAAGGGCTAGCGCTGAATGATGAGTTGCATCTTCTATTGGCCAAGCACGAATCTATTGCTTCCGGAACTTCTGTTCAAGTGGAAAAACCAAAATCTGAACCACATCAACCTCTTGTAAATGTTAATGCTCTACTTATTGAGACCGGAGGCCGCAAATAGTCAGACCAAGGGTAAATAACTATTATCTGTGTCATTCTCTTATTTGACCTCTGTATACAAACTGAATCCCCCCCTCCTCCTCTCCAAATATGTTTTGACTCTTGGTTTCTTTTTGAGCGAGCTCATAGCTTAAATAGCACACGTGGATTTTCTATATTGAAATGTTAAATTGTTAATTGCCTAAAATGAGTGACCTTAAAATTATTATCTACTAGATTAGGATGTTATCAAGGTTCAAAAGTCCTCTGGTACTACAAGATTGATGGAAATATGTGACTTTTTTTCTTTGTGATGCAGAATTTTCCTAGTCAGTGCTAAGTGATTGTACTTTAAATAAGCTATCCCTTCCCCTTCCCTCAAAGAAAAGGGGAAATATGATAGAAATCCTGAGTATTCTTTTTCATTTTTGAGTCTTCAAATGTGACGCAATCTTTTTCATATAAATCGCTTGATGTGTTTTTCAGATCTACATCAAATACTAGCCTAGGGACACAGTTGCTTCTTCCTGCTCCTCCTTCAGCTAGCATTCCATCAACAACAACAAAAGTTGACCCGAAAATTGATCTTCTGAGTGGAGATGACTTCAGCTCACCTACAACTGAGAATGTCCTGACCCTTGTTCCTGTTGGTGGAGAACCTGAGCCTGCAAGTCCTGTTTCACAGCAGAATGCCCTTGCTCTTGTTGACATCTTTTCATCACCCAGCAACTCACAATTTCCATATTCAGCTGGGCAGACACATGCTTCGTCCCCTCAATTTCGACAACAGAGTTTCACTTCTACATAGTCAGCTTTGTACCCAAATGGAAGTGTCCCCGGAACTACATACACACAAGCCTCTAACACAGCCTGGAACGAACAGATATCACAGCAACAGCTGCAGTCACCTTCTCCAGTTTATGGTGCGTTACTTTGTCATTCTGCATGCATTCTGTTTTATATCAACAACAACAAAAAATCTGCATGCATTCTGTTTTACTTTAAAGTTCTATAGAAATGTGTACTCTATTCGCTATAGGTAGAATTTTTCCTCATTATTATTCTCTATTACCCCAAAAGACCAGGCAACCAGTAGATATGTTAGTGAAGAGTTAAACAGGGATATGCTGAAGTATAGCATGTGTTTGAAGTTGGTATGCCTCATGTGTAAAACCCAATTTCTGTACATGTCTTATGTATTGCCTGAATTTTACGACCTCTTGTTCATTGAGTTTCTGAATTATTACTCACATAGTTCTTGTCTAATTTCTGATTAGGTGGTCAAAGCAGTTCTTTTCCACCACCTCCATGGGAAGCTGAGGCAGCAGAGAGCAGCCAAACAGTGGGGAATCCTCATCCAAATATCTGCCCCAAAGCAAAGTAGAGAGAAAAAATGTCTTATTAACCATGATGATCAAGACCAAAGCTGCTAATAATAATAATAATGACAATCTGATGAGAAGATGCAGAGGATTGTTCTTGACAAGCAGGAGATTATGCAATCTTTACAATGCCTTCAACTTTAGTGATTGAACAACAAATTAGAGCCAGTCTAATGGTGAGAGTGGGAAAGTTTCATCGCCTCGTGATAGGAGTATTTTGGTCTTTCCATAAGCTTCAGCGAGTGACAGAGTAGTATGGTGTACCCACAAGCTGTACTTGCAACTGGATGGATGTATGTCAATGAACAGGGTCAAATGTGTGGCCCTTAACGGTTTCGTCCTCTGATGCGAATGGACCAATGAATATGTACACCGGAGTTACCAAAGATTCAGGAGGAAATTGAGTCGAGTTGCCTACAACTTCCCCCTACAGTAACTCAGGGGCTGAGCATGGAGCCCATTCCTTGAACCAGCAGATGGCGACTGCTGGCTTTGCAAGAACACTTGCTCCGTCTACGTCTTGCGTACTTCCTCTTCTATATTTAAGGATTTTGTAATGTTCTTGGTGATATTCTTTTAGTTACTTGTTTCTTCAAGCTGTCATGTGCAACTTTATCTCCTAAAAAAGTGTTATCATTGTCCAAAAATAAAAAAAAATTGACTCTCCTTAGGCCAAAAATATAATTTCTTCGCCATTCACAATTGTAACTAGGGCTGTACAAAATCGAACCAAATCGCAAATCGAGTCAACCCGAAAAAATACCCTGACTAGTGGTTTGGTTTTGAAAAAAAAAACCTGATTATATTTGGGTTGGTTTGGTTTTAACTAAAAAAAATCAACCCGAGACCAAACCAACCCGATATTATATATATAATTTTAAAATTTTATTTTATACATAAAAATATTTACTTTGATATAATTTTTAAATATTTCTTATACTTTTTCATACTTTTTATCTTTTAATATATTATTTCAAGTTTGAAACTTAGAATTATGAATGAGCCAATAATGATTATAGTCCACAGATGTTGGTAATTATAATAAAGCTTAAATCAAAATCAAATT